TCCGTTCACGCATTCAGTCCAAATAGGACTGGTTATAAACCAATTTGGCAATGAATATGAAAATTCTACCATCACATGGCACATAAGTTTAGAGTGAGTTGACCGTCGCTGACACCAATATCCTATACAGGGTTATCCAAAAGTCACTGTCCACCCCTTTAACTTTTTTCCAAATCGAGATAGAAGTTTGAAACTTTGGCAATGTTCCTCGGTCTAAAGTAGCAACTTTTTGGTCCCCCCAAAATTTTGGGGGGGGGCGGGGGCTAACTTGTTTTTTTAAATGGCAACCCCCCCCCCCTTTGTGATACCTCATTCGAAAGATAATAAAAAAAGAAAATGTTTGGCGCAAACCACAGGTCAAAATGTTGATTTTTAACAAAATGGCGGCCGGTCAAAGTTCAAAATGGCGGAAATCTGACATCTCCGTTATTTATTGACAGATCGGCGTTAAACTCGGAATCTCATGGTACGTCGAGACGAGGAAAACGATTCTGGCAGTGGTTTTCCAGAAAAGTCGGTCCTTTTCATAATGGCGGCGGTCCAAATGGCGGCCTAGCGCGGGAAGTGGATATTTAGGCTGCTTTTCGTTGGATTTGCATGAAATTCGGTATCCGGGGGTATTTTGGCACGAGAAGAACGAATCCTTCGTTGGATATCTCGACAAATTCCACAATGGCGGCGGAAAAATGCCGGGAAATCAGTTTTACGGCTGTTTACCGATGGATTCGCATGAAATTCGATATCCTTGTGGTTTTGGCTGGATATAAAGGAATGTTTCATTAGATTGTTGAAATACTAAACCAAAAAACCAAAAGACCAAAAAGTTGTTACTTAAGACCGAGGAACATTGCCAAAGTTTCAAACTTCTATCTCGATTTGGAAAAAAGTTATAAGGGTGGTCAGTGACTTTTGGATAACCCTGTTTATTAAAATGCAAAGTTCCGAATCTTTGGGCGTTAACTTTGAGAGAACCACCGGACCGATTTGTTTGATCTTTTTTTGAACTGAAAGCTCCTGAGCTGTAGATTTGCAGGCTGTAATTTGCATTTCGATTGTTTCAGATTTTCTCCTGTAATTTTCTCAAATTTTCTTCAATGCATTAAAACGGAGGTCCGAATCTTTGAACGTTAACTTTGCGAGAACCACCGGACCGATTTGCATGATTTTTGTTTTAATTAAAAGCCTCTGATCTGTAGATTTGCAGGTTGTGGTCGTTTTTTGATTTTCTCAAATTTTCTTACTTTCATCGACGAGTGAAGTTTAGCTGGGCTCGAATTTTCTCCCATTGATTCAGACTAAAGTCCGAATTTTGGGACATTAACTTTGAGAGAACCACCGGTCCGATTTGCATGGTTTTTTTTTTTTTTAAATGAAAGCTTCTGATCTGTAGATTTGCAGGCTGTAATAGTTTTTTCGATGTTCTCAAATTTTCTTACTTTTATCGACGAGTAAAGTTCAGCTGTTTCGAGCGGTCGTCCCGCCGCTACCTGCTTGCCTGTCCCTAGGTACCCCCCCCCCCCCACGGTCTCAGCCACCCCTCCCGCCACGTTCTTTCGGCAATCTCCGTTTTCTTTCGTATAGCTCTCCTCCCACCAACCTCAAAGAAGGATGTTTGGGTGGCAACGTCCGTTCGTCGTTTGTCACTTGCCACCCACATTTCTTCGCAATCCCTCGGCTGCTCCGCTTCACAGCTTCTTGATATCCTGGCATCTTATTCTCTGCGGCGTGACTGACCCTGACTTATTAACTGCAGTATTGCGTATTGCTAACAACACGTATTGTTACAGACATTTTATTCATCATTATTAAATAGATTCAACTAATTGCTCCGATTCCAATTAAGCTACTGCACCACCATTGCTAGCTGCGGAGGGCGCCTGGAGCAGCTAGTAACTGATGAAATTTCAACTTCAGTGTTGAACTGTAATTTATGTAATCTTTCGTGCTTGAGGTAGATATCTTTGAGGTAGAGGAGGATTCTATATCGAATTCTCCTAATTCGATCAAACATTAATATTGGTATGAAAATAACGCAATAACAATAACCGACTCGTACACAGCTCAGGATACCGTCACTTACCGAAAATATCGCATTATTTATTCAATGACAATAGCTTTTAGGAGGGGTATAACACTAAAATAGGCATAGTTGTATTGAAAGAAGTCAATATTAAGTTATCTGAGTGATTTCAATCATACGATACTACATTACTTTAAGTCCAACAGTGAAATTGAAATTTCATCAGTTATATTGGTGACAGCGACGGTCAACTCACTCTAAACTTATGTGCCATATGATGGTAGAATTTTCATATTCATTGCCAAATTGGTTTATAACCAGTCCTATTTGGACTAAATGCGTGAACGGATGTAAAAAAATGATCATTATTTACTGGGCTCAAGAAAATTGTTGACCATAACAAATTTTTGACTGTCTGATTTTGGTCGGCTTCCCCCTCCCCCTCCTTCCACCCTAAAGTATCGAAAGAGCGAGAAATGCTATTAGAAACCTTAAAAACCTTTAAAACATGAATTTGTGTTGAAATATTTCATTGGCCGCTTTACTGTGCACCGTGGTTCCTTAAGACCTTTAAATCTGATTTTCGCGGAAATGGGAGATCACCTCAAAGAAGCATCCGAAAAATATGGTTGTACCGGTTTGTGCTTTGGTATATGGTATCTCTAGGATATATAGGAGGAATACTAAAGAGAACCGCGCAACAAACCGCAATGACACTTTTTCAGTGTACAATATTCTGAAAAATTCATTTTTTAAGGCTTATTTTTTGGGTATCTTTGATCTCATGTCCTACTGCTAAAAATCAATATTTTAGGGATCTGCAAAAGTGAAAATATTCTCCTTCCAATAGAATCACAAGGTTAGATGATAAGATTGCATTTTTCTGTTTGATGATTGTGTTTTCCCCCATTTTATTAGAGCACAAGATCCTCTTTTTTATCGAGAAATTTCCTCAGCTTTCGACGTCCAAAACCTACATTTAGACATTTTTGCCGGTTTTTTTGACACAAAATTTGGAAAGAACAGATCAAATCACCCCAGTATTTAACATGTTTTGAACGATGTATCTGATCTAGCGGGAGTTATCAATTAAGCGCCGCTACGGACACGATCTGGCCCACCGTGCGTAGCGTCCCTCTCTTGGACTGAACGAGAATTTGTACCAAATTTCGGGAAAAAAGAGAGTTTTGGACTCTAAAACGGTTGCACTCAATGGAAAAACGATGAGAAAGTTTTTGCTGGAAATTCAATTTTCAAAAACTTAGGTTCTATTCATTTTTGTCGTATTTGCCATTGTAGCCATGCTTTAGTCAAAAACCTGAATTTTCCGCAAATTTTGACTTTAACGTCAATCTGGGCTGTCCAAATGTTGAGGAAAAAATTCAGGAAAATTCAGGCGTGGTTTTAGCCACTCTCGTGCTATGTCCGTTTTCAAAAGAAAAAAAAGTCCAAAAACACTCATGGATTTTTTGTCCTTAGTTCCTCCAACGAAATAAGTATATAGAAAATGAACAAATACGTAATTTGGTGTAAAATTTTCTGTGGAAGCAAAAAAAAATACGAACTCATGATTTGTACTTTTCAGAGCTGCAAAATCTTAATTTTCTAAGAGAAACAAAAGGAAAAAAAGTGATGGAAAGTTCTCTCAATTCCTCCCCCCTCTCCTTCCCCTCAGAAAACATTGTGATGAAAAGTAATTACCTAAGTTATCATGTATTGCTTTCAGGACTTGCAGAAAGTTTTTATCCTAAAAAAAACGATTTTGATGATTTTGACTGCATTCCCTCAAATTAACTACTCCTAGGGGTGTTTAAATTCCTTTTACCTTATTCTGAAATCCCGATAAACTCCAGTTGGAAACAGCAGGCCCTGTCAAAACTGTCTAAACTCTCGATTCGGACGGAGCATTTTTGCCCTGCATGTCAGTCCGATAGGTTAATTGACCAGTAAAACAGATGTACATGGCAACACTTCAATTTCAATAGCCTTGAAAGCTCTTGTAGGTATGGCGACAGGTCTTTTTATCATTGCTGCTTTTTGGTGGAACCGTTTCAATAGATTACCACAAACCAATTAAATACCCGGGCTTCTACAAACTGGAAAGTTTCCTTTAATAGATAATGAATGGGACAAGAGTTAATATTTTGTTTATTTCGCCCAAGCTGGGCATGCAAATTAAGAGATTTTTATTTTCTTTTAAATTTCTAATTTATTTGTTTCCTGGCATTCGACACGCCAAGGATTTAAAGAATTTTATCATTTCCCTTGATGGTTGCATAATGAGGCCGGGGCATGATAAGCGGTTGTATAACCAGTTGCGTAACTGCCAGGCCAGTTATCACCTATTATGTAACCATCCTTATAAATACCGCGGCAGGAGCCACTTTTAGTTCAGTTGCTATTTCTCTTTCAAGCACTCACAACGAGCACGCCCGTCTAAGGTTGCTCTAGCACGCCCGTTTAAGGCTGCTTCTCTATGCTTCAAAGGGCACGCCTGTCTAAGGCTGCCTTACTCATGCTCTAAGGGACACGCCCGTCTAAGGCTGTTTCCTTCCACTGGCACGCCCGTCTAAGGCTGCTCCAGCACGCCCGTCTAAGGCTGCGATTCTACTTACTTCAGAACTCTTTGTATTTCATTATATTATTTTCTCCATTCGTTCTCTATGATGAATTTAGAGTTTCATTTCTATACGGGCTCTGTTACTATCCCGTCCTTATTCTGAGAGAACTTTAACAACCTAGCAAATTGATCCGGCAATTTCATTTTCAAAGGAGCCTTGAAAAAGGCCCATTCTGATTCAGATAAGATACCTTTCCATAGAGCAATTCATACTGTTTATCAAGTAAAATATTTGAATGAAACATTACACAAAATGTAATCACTATTTTGGACAAAAACTCTAGTTCTGTCCAGTGACGGACGTATGTATAAATTTGAATGCTTGTTTGATTGATCAAAATCGTTTTCTATCTATTTTAGAGACCTAGTGTTGTAGCCTCCAGCATGGATGCTCATGCAACTCTCATGGAAGCCATCCGAAAAGCAGGCGGGTCAGGAAAAGCACACCTACGGTCTGCTGCCGATCGGAAAATTGAAGCCAAGAGACAGAAACAGGTGAGTCTTGATATGACGATCCATGTGCAAAACTTCATGAGGGAGGAAGGTGACTTCAATTATTAATTAAATTATGAGACCTGATGGCTGTATGGAGTTAAAGTTCACACAAGTGGACTGTATTCTAATAATGTGCCTGCACTCAACATGACATCTCTATGCTCTGTCTCTTGTCTGTAGGTGGCTGTGAATTTCATAACCTAGAAAGTTAGGGGACAGCAGCCAAAGAAACCATAGAAAACGAGAAGGGGTGTTCCAATCACACTTGCTGGAGGATTTGTTTTAATGCAGCTATTTTTAGTCCTTAAAAGAATAAAAGCCAATCAACAAGTAGCGAATCATGTGTGAAAAACTATGCCGCTGAATGAGATTTGAACCCACAATCAAAGATTTTGCCTAAGACAATACAAAAGTGCCGAAGTCCAGTTGACTGCAGTGGTTAATTAGTAATAGGTCAGTTGTTCCTGGGAGGAATTGTCTCGTTAATAGTTAATTGCCATAGTTTTTGGTACGAGAAAACCAGGGCCGGATTTAGCTTTTTGCCGCCCCTGGGCAAGCTACATTTTGCCGCCCCTGGGTCTGCAATATTTCGCCACTATATTGTCAACAGTATCCCCTTAGTCAGGGAGAAATACGATTTGACCCGGAACAAATTGCTCAACAAACTTTTCCTATGTAAACGTCATCAGTAGGTCCTCCTGAACAACATACTAAAAGTTTACCACGGTCCGACCCCGGAACACCCCCCAAAATGCCTAAATTTCAAAATGGCGGCCACAATAAGGCCTCTGGGATTTCGGTTTTTTAAAAAGCGCATATAGTGTCATGTGAGGTATCAATCACTATGTAATTTTGGTCGTAGAATTTAGATATGAGGTCAAAAAAGTCCCCCGGTCAAAGGGGGTGCCCCAAATCCAAGATGGCGGCCAATTTTGAAAGGCAGGAGGGTGAATTTTTAAAATGCGCATACAGTTTCATGTGAGGTATCATTCCCTATGTAATTTTGGTCGTAGATTTCATTTATGGAGTCATAAATACCCCCCGGTTCAAGGGGGCAGCTCCAAATTTCAAGATGGCGGCTAAATTTGAAAGGCAGGAGGGTGGATTTTTGAAATGTTTACGTGACATGGCAAGTGAGGTATCATTTTTTATGTAATTTTGATCGTAGATTTCATTTATGAAGTTCTAAGAGCCCCCCTGTCAAAGAGGGTGCCCCAAATCCACGATGGCGGCCAAATTTGAAAGCAGGAAGGTGATCCAAAAAAACAACAATCACGCTAGAAGGCAGGTTGGCTATCAAATTCCACGTATTTTTAGTCAAGGAGTCTGAATGACATTTGAAACACTAATTTTACACAAAAATGAGGCGTGACATGCATGATGGTGACCATCATGGCTGTCCAGGGTATGAAAAGATGGGAACAGGAGCACTTATAAGTTCTTTTTGTTAATTTTGAAGCACATACATTCTCAATGAAGATAAGGATATTAAACGTGACCTACAAACTCTAGTCAATATGGGCAAAAATCTGAATCAGCACATGTTGATTCAAAGTCTGCGTCAGGATTGTCAAGATCTCCTTCCTGGGGTGT